CGACGCGCGAGATACTATGTTTATGTTTCGGGTCGCCCGTCGCTCGTGCTCGGCGCTCGCTGCCGCGCTCGTCGCCCGCGCCGCGCTCCCCGTCGCGCCTAGGTTTTTTCCCACCACGGTGTATCTCGCGCGTCACTCCACCTCCCGCTCTTCGATCGATTTTCTTAAATGCCTTCCGAGTCCGGCCTACCGTCTCCTGCATCCTCATTCGCTCAAACGTGTAAATTAATTACTCGATAACTATTGTTACTTTTGTACCGCGGCACATGACATTTCTCCTTAGTTTAACCCAATCTACCACTATTTTCAAGTTGGCTACTTTTGCATCAGACACCCTGTATAGTTTAAATTCAATGTAGATAATATTGTGTAACGAAAATGTCATAAAAGGACTGGACTATTAAATTGACATGTATACATATTTCGATTTAGTACGAAAGAAGCGGCTTGCAATGTTGGATCTTTTAATAGCGGCATCCCGCGATGGTCTTCTAACGGAGTTAGACATCAGAGAGGAAGTCGATACGTTTATGTTTGCGGTATATTTATAATTTCACTTGAACGTTTTTTAAAATATTATCTGGTATATGGGATACATTATGTAATGTTACATATTGATGTACATATATAATTATAGGGTCATGATACTACAGCGATGGCTCTGTGTTATATTTTGATGCTATTAGCTGAGCACAAATACGTACAGGTATCTATCATCAAATGTCAGTCGTAATCCTTAGACAAAAAATTAAATAATTCCAATATTACTTATTAAAGATGTATCAATATGAGATTTGATAGGTACAAGAGAATCGCACGGGACTAGACTATAGCACAAAACGCAACCAAAATTTCGCAAATCTGCGTTATCCACTTGGCAAAATGTGGACCATGTCTGCATAAGGAGACCGAACTCCCATAATCAGAGCATAGTATAACTAGTAGGGTCACTCTCTGTCGGCACCTTTGATCTGGGCGTTCTCACTTTTTCGCCATGTTTTTTAAGCGCTAACGGTGTATCGATGACTAAAAGTGCCTGGACCCTTTTTAGGATTGTATCCAGAAAAGGCGCATACGAACTGGCATACATTATTTACCGTAAAGGAAATGGTCTATGAAAAAGAATTCTTTTAATAAAAGTAATTAATGTATAATAATTACTTGCTCCAACATATAAATGTATTTAAAGTGGTTGGCCCAGTGGTCGTCACGTTAAGCAAAACGCTCGACTTTGCAAATTTATATTGCTCAGATTGTGAAGTGAATGACTATTATTTTAGGTTATTCTGAATCAGTTTTTTGTTAGGAATAAGAACATCGTTCTAAAATTCTCATACCTATTTTCGTTTTTGAGAAAATCCTTCGTAAGGGTTAGAAGACGCATATGTACGAGTCATCGCCATGCCGCGATGACAGTTAGCCTAGTAATCGTCATGGGTACGTCACTAATCGTCACACGTGTTTAACTATCGTATGTACGAAGGATGAAAAGATTCGGACTCATATGAATTAAAATTAAAATTATATTATGTTTTGACAATATATCTT